GGTCGCCCTTCCAGCGCCAATTTGATTGAGTTCGAAGTGTACGTGTATTATACCTGTCTAGCGTCCACAAACTCCTTCTGTTTTGGAGACAGAGCTGCAAAGAGAATTTCGCGCAGATCAGCATCAATGCAGAACATTTTGCTGAATGGCATCTGCACTTCTGCGGGCGGTTTGGCGCTGAATAATACAAAGTTTCAGTTTATGAAAAGGAACTTCTTCCTAGCCTAGCAAAAAAACAAACTTCTTGATCAAGTTGGGAGCGACTAAAAAGTGCCCGTATCACAGTGCGTAATTAACAGCATCGACTGATGGGATATACTCAGATAGGGACTTAACAGAGATCGTAGAATTTCGAAACATGAACCAAACTTCGGGATCTCGTAAGATAATTTCAATTGATGAGCGTTCGAAGGTTTGCTCCATACTGCTTGATTGAGCTGAAGCTGAACATAGGTATCTTGACGACGAACGGGAACATTGAAGCAAGAGAATTTTAACTATTAATAAATTTATGCATCTTTGACACCCTGTAGGCGTGCTCCCAGAAATCCACTGAAGCTTATTTTTGAACAGGTGAAGACTGGAAGACTATTCTTGAGATTTTCCCTCTTTTTCAAACTTTTCGTATTCGTAGCACTAGTGTTTAGTTAAAGCTTTAACATTCAGCTAGCAATTTCATTCGTACTTCCGCGCTGTTATGGCGTTTTTCTCCTCTTTTTTCCGCGCTTTTCTCCTTGCCATTCTCTCCGACTTTATCCTTTTCTTCATTAAATCTTGTATTTTACTTTCTTGCAAAGTTTTACCTCCATCCAAAGTTCCCTTTTCTAACTGCGTTGTTAGTCATTTGGTTTTCAATCCAAGCCAATTTAATAGCTTTGAGTCCTATAAACGCGCCAGTAGAATTGAAGAGATCATCGACTTGATAAGCTGATCGTGCAGTCTACAAACGTTGAAGAATCTCCTTGGTATCACTCTCTAGTGATTGACTAGTAAATATTTTGGAAGCATCGTGATATAGATTATACTGAACCATACCAATTTTTGGCTACCAATTTCCACGCTCTGGTGAAGAGTACGAAAAGCGCAATGTTCACAAAGGGTGATAGGGCTTTACGCAGCTACAGGTAAATAATCCATAGTATCTTTACCATCATTTGTTGGTGAGATTGAAACAAAGGGGATGGAGTATAGCGGCGTTTTTCGATTAATCCCGCATTGAAAAAGCAGCAGAGCAGGTGAGCTGCTGTTGTCAAATCTTCCTTATGACTATACACCATTAACTTCTTAACTGATACAGTGTCCGTTTATTAGCTTTGAATGTTCAAAAGAGCGTGGTTACACTCTCTAAAGTTATGAAGTATTTTTCACAGAAGAGGAATTTGTTTGCGTTGTGTTCGAACAAGAACATGGAGTTATATTCAAAGGAATTCATAACGTTTTCTTAATCAGGTTTCTTGAACTACTGCTATTATGTTGACTGATAAATATAATAATTTGGGCGTTTTTGAAGATTTGTAGAAATGTTACCAACAAATCTCTGCACGCATGTTTGGTATCGTTGGGCAGAGTAAATCTAGAGAATTGGATGATCAAGTCTGTTTAAGCAGGCTATTCTTTGTTGATGAC